ATTTCTCCTCATCTTCAAAGATGCTTCTGGGAGGCTCGGTAACTGTTTAGACAGGAAATACTGCACAACCTAGGGCCCATTACACAAGGACCAGGTCATTTATTAGAGAAAAAAAAAAGCAAGTTGCCTTTGACTGGTACAGCACTGTCACCACAGAATGCCAGCCGGCTCCTTTTAAAGTTGAGACGAGCAACCTTTCTGAGTAGCTGTTTCTTCTGCCTTGTCTAGGACCTTGTAGGAAATAGCACTTAAAGCACACCACCACTTTCTTTAAGCCAACTGATCGCACACATCAGGCAGCAGTAATTAAGTTACTGAGATGTGTGATTACCAGCATAATCCTAGCTCAAAAGTGATACTTGAATAAGCTGAACCAATGTTTTAAGAATTCATTTTGGTGTTTTTGGGGGTGGTTTGGGGGTCCAGTCGTGGGGCCTGAACTCTGGGCCTGGGCGCTGTCTCTCAGCTCTTCAGCTCAAGGCTAGCTCTCTAACACTTGAGCCACAACGCCACTTCTAGCTTTTTTCTTTTTGCTTATGTGGTGCTGAAGAATCGAACCCAGGGCCTCAGGCATGCAAGGCAAGCGCTCTACCACTGAGCCGCCTTCCCAGCCCCTGAACTCATTTTATTTTATGAATTTGGAGGCAAAGTTTTCCTTTTTAAGGATCTCATTTAGACCACATGCAACTTAGATGTTTAAATACTCAAAGCATTTTAAATACATCACCCATTTCATGTGGGTGATTAACTTCCATGAAGAATAGGTTATTATTGTTGCAGACTTTCACCAACTTTTGGGTTTTTTTTTCTTTCCCTTCGAATTATGAACATATAAATTGCTTTTCCATCTGTCAAAATGATTAAAAACTAAATGTACACCAAAAAAATAAGTTACTTAATCTTCAGGCTCTTACAAAGAAAACTGTAACAATAGTCCTCAAAAGTGATGTAGTCTTTAGAAAGGACAGCTCTTGATTAGAGTTGACCTCCATCCCCAAGAAAGATGGCCACTCATTGTTTTTTTGTTTCTTTTGTTTTTTGTTTTTTGTTTTTTTTGGTCCAGTCGTGGGGCCTGAACTCTGGGCCTGGGCGCTGTCCCTCAGCTCTTCAGCTCAAGGCTAGTGCTCTACCACTTGAGCCACAGCGCCACTTACGGCTTTTTTTTCTCCTGCTTATGTGGTGCTGAGGAATCGAACCCAGGGCCTCAAGCATGCTAGGCAAGCGCTCTACCACTGAGCCACCTTCCCAGCCCCCACTCATTGTTTTAATTCAACCCTGAACCCTTCAGCAGGTTCACTAGCCACCAAATGCCCCAAGATCACATTCTTTTTCAGAAACTCGAGACTTGAACCATTAAGACTTGAAAAACAGCATGTTATTTTCTCCAGGTTGTGGGAGGTGGAATGATCTATCGGACAGCTCTCTCCCTTCCGCTCACGTACATTTATTTCACATTTTCCTCTCTTAATCGTTGAAGCCGACATGCACTCCAGATTCTGTCTGTTGGCATACTAAAAAAAAAAAAAAATGCCCGTAAGCATCAGGAAACTGACTGGAGAAGATGGGAAATGCTCCCTGGAGCCCTGGCCATGGCTGAAACCCCACGCAGCAGGCTGCTAGATTAGAGAGAACCCAGCTCATTCGTCATCTGGCACCTCTGGCACTGCCCAGAGAGCAATATAGAGTGAGGTCAATTTTGCAGTTTAGTTGGATGTTAAAAAATCTTGACAAGAAAAAAAAAATTGAATGACTCAACTTGTGCAGATAGGTGGTTAAGACCGGGCTGGGTGTCTTGCGCATTATGACCTCACGGACTCATACATCAGTGGTGGGTTTTAAACTATTGTAAAATAGGTTCAATTTAATTCCACGTGCTCTACTCAAGATATACAGGGTCTTCTACATCACATGGATGAACACATAATGTTGAATGATGAAAATGACTTTTTCACGGAGGAACTGAAAAATTGAATTTTATTATTGTGGATCTATCTATCATACCGCTGGTGGGTGAACATACAAAGTGCTGTATTATTAAAATATGGGAGCCTTCGTATTTTACATGGAAGTCAGCGAAATCACATGCTGCCTCGCTCACCTCGCGGCTCCGCAGAGCTCACGCCGTGCTCAGCATCCCGCACGAGGCAGACTTGTGTTTCCTGCTTCTGTAAAATCATTCTTTTCTCTGCTGGATGACTGATGAACTTTTCTCCTGGATATGTGCTAAGGCCTTGTTTTCCACTCCAAATCCTGAGGAAGAGGTTACTTTGAGGAATAAGCTTTCGACAACGCAGCCTGGTCCACATCTCCACCACCCAGCCACAGCCTCTGAGCTGTGCGTGCTGCCCTCTGCCTTGGTTCTGACTGTAGCCGGCACCCTTGAGTCCCCAGTAGCCTCACCGCCCTGCCCTGCCACAGGCTGGTTTTCTAAGAGGCATTACCCCATCCAGCAGACTCCTGCGCCCCTATCAACACTGACATCCAAGCTTCTCAATGAAGCTTTCCTGAAGTTGTCTTCCTGAGGCCTCTTCAGACCTTCCTTCATAACCTGTCAGGATCCTATCTGTCTCCCTCCACGCGCCCTCTAGACCGAGCGCCGTGAATGCAGGTTCCACAGATGGCCTCCTCTTCAGCTTTTTGGTCAGTCACTCCACCCAGCATGGTGCTTGGTACACAGTGGCCACTGCAGAGGGAGCTGACCAGCGAATGAAAGAATGGCCCTGGGAGCTTCCCCTGCAAGTGCCGGCTGTCGTCATGGGGAGAAGTGGATCCTCTTGGTGAAACCAGGCTAGGAGCTCTTCTCTCCTTCAGCCCCAAGCTTTACTTGGTGCCTGTGACTGCACCTTGCCCCATGCCTTCCTCTGACTCCCATTCAAACCCAATGAAACACCACCATCGCGCTTACCTTTTGGTGTCGGAATGTACTGGGCTGGCTCTTGCACTTCACTAAGAGTGGCAGGGCATACACATTCCAGAACTTCATTTCCTGGAGAGATTCATGATTTTCAACATCTAACAGGTAGATAGCCCAAATACAATAGGTAAGTCACATAAAACACTGAAGGTTTTGAAGTCATTTTGAAACCGATATTTTCTTTCCTAACATCACATGCCCCTCTCCAACAAAGACTTCTCTTATTGAATTGAATGGCCTGATTTGCAAATATTAAGTTTAAAGAAAGGCCATAAGATACGGACCCACGTATTATCCTAAAATAACTGTATTATGCACATTAAAATATGTAGTTTTCCTTTCCGGTGTGATTGCTTTGTTTGATCAAATTGAAAGTCAGGTTTCCTATTATAGCATTATGTCTTATTTCCTTAGACGAAATGAAATTGTTCCATTATAGCAAATAGAAGCCTGATAATGGTTTGATTTGAGTCTAATTGGAATACTGTTTCTCAGAATACTTTGCTATTCCCGTCACACGTTTGATATGTGTTCTCTGACAGACTATGAGTTGCATTGGGCTGTGACCCCCATCGGATCTGAGAGATTGAGATCCCAGGGGACTGTGGAACTGAGGCTCAGGCTGAGGCAGCCGCGAGGGTGCTGTTCAGCTGTCAACTGATGGGAAAGATTTAGAAATAAAACAGTGGGAGAATGGGCCCCACGGGGTTCAGTGTCAGCTTCCTCGTGGGATGGCTGCAACAGGTTAGAGTGATTACCAGTAACACTCGCCATTGCTTCCACTGTGTTTCTCACACGGACTATACTAAGGCACCAGAGTCTTATCTGCTTTTTCCTGAAGGATTCCTCACGGCAATGAGGCAAGAAGTGACCCGTGCCCACAAAGGCTGGGCTCTGGACACGGTGACCATTCACAATGACGTGCTGCGGCAGACCAAGGAGGAAATCGTGTCGCCTCCTGCGGTAGGTGGAGCGGGCCCGTTCTAGGGCTGGGATGGAAGTTCAAGGTCTGACCCGCAGTGTTCGCTTGCATCAGCTTGCTTGGTTGTTCTGAAGGTTTTTCTTCCTTTGTGAGCAGAAGAGCTCTCTCTATCACTGCCCGTCTAGCAGGCCCAGACCTCCAAGGCTGCCTTGCTTTCTAATGACGTTACTTCTGGGTTTGAATAGAAGGATTTCCCTGTGATCTCCTGCCTGCTCTATGTGGGCTGCTCACAGCATGCCCTGTGGGCAGCGGAGCTGAAGGCAACAGAAACCAATGGGCCTGGCATGCCGGAACCCTGGGAAGTGACTTTGAGATTGCAGAATAGAAGCATACCAGCCATGTCAGAATACCCCAGTTCTCATTTCCAAATACATTCCGAGGTTCCGGGATTCACATGATCTTAAGGATGATACTTTTCATCTACCATACTTCTGACAATGATTTTTAACTTCCTAAGATTACAAGGAACCTAGAGAAGAGGACATTCACCATAGGATGGCTCCTACAATGTATTTTTTTTATTGTTATGGGACTTGAACTCAGGACCTAACCAGTGTCCCTGAGCTCTTTTTTGCTCAAGGCTAGTGCTCTGCCACTTTTTTTTTTTTGGGGGGGGGGGGGTCCAGTCGTGGGGCCTGAACTCTGGGCCTGGGCGCTGTCCCTCAGCTCTTCAGCTCAAGGCTAGCACTCTACCATTGGAACCACAGCGCCACTTCCAGCTTTTTTCTTTTTGCTTATGTGGTGCTGAGGAATCAAACCCAGGGCCTCAGGCATGCAAGGCAAGCGCTCTACCACTGAGCCACCTTCCCAGCCCTGCTCTGCCATTTTGATCCACAGTGCTATGTCCAGTTTTCTGGTGGTTCATTAGAGATAAGAGTCTCACAGACTTTCCTGCCCAGTTTGTCTTTGAACCTCAATATTCAGATCTCAACCTCCTGAGTAGCATGAGCCACTAGCCCCTGGCTTACCTATTCTTTATACAGGTAACTGTCAACCACTAAGCTAATGAGAGGAAGACTAAGTCTTGATTTCTGGGTACTGTCTATGATTTTTCTATGTCTATGGTCATGTGCCTCAATTAGTGGCTCAAAAAATAAAGTGCACATGATAACCTTGGCAGCACGGATACTGGAATTGGGACGATGCAGAGGAGATTAGCACGGCCCCTGTGCAGGGATGACTGCAACTCTGAAGTATTCCTTGTTTCCTTTTCTTAGCACATACTAAAAATAACGAAGGGCAACAATGTAAAACAGATCCTGTCTGGGGGGGGGGAGTTTATGGGGGGGGAGGGCTAATGGAGAGGTCGAAGGCAAGTGAATATGGCTAAAATACCTTGTGTATACATGTGACAATGGAACCTTGAAGCTTGTTAATGCTGCTTTGGGATGAGAGAGAAGGGTGGAAGGTCTGAGTCTAATCAAAGCAGCTTGTGTGCATATATGGACAGGTCAAAATGAAACCCCATGCCGGTCACTGGCGGCTCACACCTGTCATCCTAGCTACTCAAGAGGCTGAGATCTGAGGATTGCGGTTCAAAGCCAGCCTGGGCAGGAAACTCCATGAGACTCAAGTGGTAGAGTGCTGTCCTTGAGCTGAAGAGCTGAGGGACAGTGTCCAAGCCCGGAGTTCAAGCCTCACGACTGACCAAAAAAAAAAAAAAAAACCCCATGTATGACTAATTGGTGGCAATACATAAAAAGTTGTTTTAAAAATGTATATAGTCCTCATTCTGTTAGCCAAGGGATTAAAATCACACTTCATAGTTAATCTCCCTGTCCTTTATTTTAACCTACATTTGCTTTTACCCGATTGTCACTGGAAATGGAAAAATGTTCACATCTTCTCCATAAATACCTACTTTACGAGCTCCCCAGTGATCCTCGGGCCTTTCTCTTCTTTTAAGAGGCTCCCTGGTGCCTGTAAGATAAAGTTCAGACCCTTCATCAGACTCCCATGCTGCAGCCCTAACTTATTTTATAACCATTGGACCCTCTCTACACATCCTGCTCTGCTCTGTAGCACCGCTCCTGCCCAGAACGCCCGTCCTCTTTCCTCCATCTTTCCAAACACAGCCCACCTTTCAGGGCCAGGACCTCCACGAGAGTTCCTGAGCATCTCAGTCCCTGTGACCTCTCTCCTCAGAACTTACAACTGTTCACCAGGCAGCCTGCTGCTGTTCAACTCAGGCTTTTAATTTTTCCCCCTGTACATGTGTGTCCCATCTCCCCAGTTATACAGGTGAGGACCAGAAAGGCAAGTCCTATTATATGAGAGAACCCTGGAACGACTCTCCCTCCCTTGCTCCCTATGACCCCTGGCTGTACCACTCCTGGCCTGTGGGGGCGCTCTAACCTCACTTCATCCTGTGTCGAGGTAGAATTTGAGAGAAGGGAGTTTGCTAGGCCGGCTGGCTCAGCCTGAGATCCCTTGTGACACTAGTTCTATACCCTGTTCTTTGCCCCATTTTTCACCAACTCAAACAGTCCCTTTCAGAGACCTACAGCCTCCGGTGGAGGTGATTTGGTCCTTCCGTTGCCCAGGTGTGCCACCCACACGCCAGCAGCCACCACTCACATGCATGTCTGCATGGTTCTCTGGCCTAGATGCTGCAGGAAGAAGCCGGGCCCAGGGTTTCATGAATACGACGTGCCCAGTATGTTTTCTTCATCTGATTTAAGACTAGCATATGTTTTCTTTCCAAGTGGACAAACCTTTATGACACTAATAGATACCCATCTTGCAGCCCCTCTGATTTTTTTTTTTTTTTTTTTACATCTTCTATTCCTTCATGCTTGACTCTTCCAGGAAGGCGTGTATATTTATGGGCTGTACATGGATGGCGCAGGCTGGGACCGGAGGAACGGGAAGCTCACAGAATCCACCCCCAAGGTGCTCTTCACACAGCTGCCTGTGCTCCACATCTTTGCGATTAACTCCACGGCGCCCAAGGACCCCAAACTGTACGTGTGTCCCATTTACAAGAAACCCAGACGCACCGACCTGACTTTCATCACTGTGGTGTATTTGCGAACAGTGCTGGCCCCGGATCACTGGATCCTGAGGGGCGTGGCCCTTTTGTGTGACGTCAAGTAACCTCGTTTCCACATGCCAGTGGCGCTGTGGGGAGACTCAGCCCTGTGTCTCTCCTCCCTACTGACTGCTCTCGTACTCTTTCTCAAGTAAAAAGTTTACAGCCTCCTGTTGCCTGGGTTATTTCTTCCTCTCATATCAGTATTCAAAATGATGACTTTTGAATTCATGCTTTCGATTCCAGGAAGTCTTGTTTTGTTATCATTACTTTTTAAATCTGAAGTCCTATTTTCATGTTTGAACACTGGAAAGTTTAAATGTTAGAAAGCTAAAACAAGTCTTAAGCAGATATACCTTAAAAGGAGCCCAGGCTGAATGTTGGTGACTCGTGCCTATAATTCTAGGTATTTAGGAGGCTGAAATCCAGAGGATCAAGGCTTAAAGCTAACCGAGAAAAGTCTGAAAGACTCCATCTGAAGTAAACCAGTCAAATGTCAGACTCAAGTAGAACACCATGGTAAAACATCAGTCACGAGCAAGAAAGCGAAGAGAAAGCTCAAGGCCATGAGTTTAAACCCCAGTTTAGCACTAGAGAGAGGGGGTGGGAGAGGGAGGTAAAGAGGGAGAGAGAAAGTAGATAAAACTTTTCTTTGCAATGAGTGCTTTCCCTTGTATGAAATCCACCCATGCCTGGGTTTATGCTGATGTGTATCCTTGGCTCTTTTGAGTTTTCTCATTGCCCAGAGCTCATAAAATGGGACCTGGAGGTTCAGGCCAGAGCCCCACAAGTACTATAGCAAGGGGGTGGCGTGAGGTGTGAAGTGTTTACAACAGGAAGTCCATTGGGATTCCTTGTAATTTATTTTACATTTACTTACTATTTTATTTTTGTAGGACCTTTGAGGCCCAGGGAACTGGAGCTTCCTGCTCTCCCTCCTGGCCCGTTTCCCCGGGAGATAATGAAACACATTTCTAGGCAGCAACTGGAAAAGCAACAAAACAAACTCTGTCAACGTGAAATTAGGTTACAAGCTGAATGTCTTCAAAAGCAGAGTCTTTTAGAAGTGAAGCTATTTCTTACTCTGTAGTTGGTCTGAAACTCGGTTTGAACCTTTATTTCCTGCTAAAGGAAATTGTCAATTGGACAAAGCAGACAGGATCTTCTCCTGAGAGCCCCGGCCCTTCGGATAGCCAGGAAGCCCTGGATCCACGCTCTTCTCATCTGGGCTTTCACCTGCCCCCAGCTCAGCCCCCAGGCTCCATTCTCTCTGCTCTGAAAGACAGGAAGTGTCCCAACATGCCCCTTCTGTCATTCTGATCAGACATCAGACACTCTGTTGGTAAGTAAACTTTGATGGCCCACAAATAGCCCAGGGGAGACTCAAGAAGTCTTGTGTGTTTTCAAAACATTGAAAACAGGTATGAAATGCAAATGGTAGCCAGTCATGGCCTCTGGTATGCCCCCTATTCAACATCAAAGCCATACAACTAATAATAATAATGATGCCCACATGTTTTGGCACTTCCCATAACCAATGCATACACTGACGCTCAAGTGGTATTCTCTGGGAAAGACTGCCCTCCTAAAATGGGGGCTAGAATTTGAATCACCTGCCTGTCGGGTGGGCACATGAGAGCAAATCCACCTGGCATTAATAACAAACCAATTGGTTCCAAAATTAAATACATGCTGGTCTCTAAAGCAGTTGAAGGCAGTTCCATGGAGATCGGAGGTTGCAGGAGATTTTTAGAGAAGAGTAGCTGGGTTCCGTGTTCTCTTGACTTGAACATCTGAGGTGGGGGCGGGGGAGGAAACCGGGAAGAAACAGTGAGAGATGAACCTAGCAAAGGTCTGATCAGTTTAAAACCACCTAAGTACCACTTCCTGGGAGCTCTGCTGTGACTGAGTATGTTACTCTGAGTCGACAGAGAGGGAGCCGAGCACCGAGGCCCAGTCCAGGTGGTCACCTGTCCCCAAGGCAGTGACCCCAAATGGGCTTCTTTTATGAGGCGTATTTCTCAGCGATCTGCCAGAGCTGGTGGGGTCCCAGCTCTGCTTCCTTCAGCTGGGTTTAGTAAATGGTTTCTTACACATTTGGAGCCATTAAACTTCCATAAACACATAACCATTTTCTCTGCAAAATTGTTGCTGTCACTAATTACACAATTTGCTGCACTTGAGTGAGGGAGCCCCGGGCGGATCCAAGGACAGAGGCCGGGGAGGTCTCGCCCCTGAGCTGGGAGGCGCATGCGAGGTCTGGCCCTTGAGCTGGGAGGCGCACGCATGCGCTCTTTTTCCCTTCCTGGGCAGCCGTCCACATCTTCAAATTTTGATCTCTGGGAAATGAGCGATGAGATTTATTCCTTCATTGACTTCAAATGTGTCTTTACTTTGGACTTTATGTAAAAATAAGAAAAGTGCCTGGGAGACGGCCTCTCAAGTGGACTGGGCTGGGCTGTGTGGTGGAAACAAGCCATACTGTCTACTCGTGGAGACCTCAGATGAACTGGAGATCGAACCCCATTAAGACTTGGTGACAGTGCTCTAAGGAAGGGCTCAGCAGGAGGGAGAGGAAAATTAAGATGGGGTATGACATGGAATGTCCAGAGATGGAATCTTGAGGAAGTTTCTATCACCTGGAAAACACCAGAGTCTTCTGGGTCGGTCCAAAGATAAAACTGCCTGCCTGCCCTTTTGTCGTCATCCGTCTTGCCCAGTTGCTTTTCCCAGTAGGACTGTTTGTTATTCCTTGAATGCCACATGTACTTTTTACCCTTGTGCTATTGCCTTAATACACACAAAATCCCCTACTTGGGAGGCTGAGATCTGAGGATCATGGTTTGGAGCCTGCCTGGCAGAAAAGTCCTTGTGAGACTCCTTATCTCCAATTAATCACTCAAGAGCTGTAAGTGGCTCAAGTGGTAGGCTACTAGGCTAGCCTTGAGCACCGAGAGGCTTAAGGACAGCACCCAGGCCCTGAGTTCAAGTCCCATGACTGACAAAAAACAATCCCTCTTGAGTAGAACACCTGAAATCTCTGTATCTCACCAGAGGGTTTATTGGTTCTCTCAATAAGCTCTCTTCTGCCTGAACCGAGCCGTGGTCTCCTGGCAGCTCTTACAGGTAGCAGGAGCCCAACGGCATATGTCCACGCAAAGTTGTACATGGGAGCGA